GGAATCCAAAGAAAAGGTCATGTTACTACTTTGCAGGAGTGTGACTGGATAAAAATCATGGTTATTGAAAAAATTCAAACTTCACTATATTTCCATGGTATACATGGCCAACATCTCCCACGCGAATATAATTCTTATCAAAAACGCGTGAGTGATTTGCACTTCATTTGAAAGTTGGTTATCTGTTGTTAACCGCAAGTTGGTTTATCGGGCTCTATTTTACTATTTTTAAATAACGCCCCTTGCGATAGCAAAGCCGCGGCATTCTTGAATGTAAAAGGCGCATGACTATCTACGAACTACTTTTCGATAACATTTTTCTACCACGTAATCAAGCATTGCTACATCAATTAAGTGCGTAATATTTAGTAAGAATCGTCCATCATACCCCAGTTTTTGTAATTTCTTTATAGCCAAAACTGTTATTGATCACGGTGGGCGCCATATACTTATTTCCGCGGTTATTTCTACATTGAAATCGAATAGGACAAAATTTGGTTTGAAAATTATATGATTTGGTTACTGACATTTTCCCAAGGAAACAAGTATTTTTGTGATAAATGGTACCTTAAAAGTGAAAAACCCCTGAATGCACCGTCCTAATGTTAATCAGATAGTGTCGCAAGCACTTTCAAGTTCTTTGAATACATAAATACTACGTGAAATTGTACATTTAAATTCCACTTTAAATAAACAGTACATAATAATAAATTAGCGGAAAAGTAACGGAGGTGACGTCTTTTTCTCGATCCCATTCATGTTGACACAAATATCCCAACCGATTTTTCATTATACTCAAAATGATATACTACTGAATAAATCCATGAGCGAAGAGACATAACGGGTTATTAAATGTAATTCTTTCTAGTGCTTTTTCTGCAAAATCCCTCACACGTTTCTTTTAATGAAGAATTTATACTCAACTGGAACTCCAAAAAGAGCACGAAACACAGAAGTACACAAACCTAGATATCACAAGAAAATGATCAAATGAAAGTTCTGTGCGCCAGTGAACCTAAGCACGGGGTTAGTGCTTGTTCGAACACTTTTACACACTTTTACTTTCGATGTTTTACTGCTTCTTGGAAGAGCAAACCGAAAACTCTGGTCTGGTCTGGTGGTTCATTTATCCTCCAGGCGCACTTGACAGTCTGTACACCGATACACCCAGATGTGTAAGTGGATGAAATCCGAATTACGCTTATGGCTCATAAAAGGGAAGCATTACTTCACCACTTTCCAGTCAGAAGCTGAATCCGTCCGTGTGAATAAAAAGCAACCAGAATAAAACAAGGCGATCTTTGAAAAACTCTAGCTTTGTCACAATATTACTAGCAATTAATATAAAAATCGCGGCGGAATACGTCTTAAGTACTGCTGGATTTAATGCATTACGGAACTGAAGCAAACTGTTGATTGGATAGTGTCAATTAAGTTTAAATTTAGTTTGAGCATCAAAGTGTGGATGAAATAGCTCAGACCAGTTACACGTCTCTCACCTCAAATCTCAAGCTCCAACTTGACTCCAGGTGGAACACTCCGTACAGCATTTGATTGAGCCAAAATGATCAACTGTTCTGATCTCCGTAGTGGATTAACCATAGATTTTGGATACTGCAGCATCAGGCTAAGAAATTTCTCATCTCTCTCATCTTCTGGAAGAAAACGAATAACTTACTGACTCCAATCCAACTCACCTCAATGATACTGACCAACCGATTGACCAGGAATAACCATTGTTATCCAAAAACAAAAGAAAATGCGAAGATCTTAACATTTCACTGGGATTTAGAAGATATCTTTTCTTCAGGTAGAGCTGACGCACAGAAAGTCCAACCATCAGTAAATCAGTCTCATTTATACGGCGTCTAAGATACTTATTTTCCTGGTTCGGCACCGAGGGATTCTCTTGTACAAGTATGTTTCCAAACCGCCCCGCCCAAATCTGGGAATCTTCGTGATAACTTGACGAATCTCCAATACGTTCGGTAACATCAAAGCATTCAACTGGTTGATTACAGTAATTGACTGCTCAGAAGGAGCATGTATTAATAGCATTTTAAAATTATCAAAGTGATTTATGTTTGTAAATCAAATAGTGTCATGGTTTATCACAACATCTCCATTCATGACTAGTAGGCATGCAGCATCAGGTTTCGTCAATTGATTACATTGTGTAATGCTCCTAAAGAACCATTCCTATATGGCAGATATCGAGATTCAAAATGCCTCTTATAATTCTAGTTTAGAACCCCAAAAATCTGCCAGAGTTTGTTATCTAGAGAATAAAATATCTTATTACAGATCAGTATAACCTCCGTATCATCTTGATACAATGTTTTCCTCCAAGACTCACATAGCACAGTTAATTATCTTCCCATCTTCAATGATTCTTTGGTTACAGATGAGAAGAATGTCTACTTTGGCAGCTCTTGTAATAGGTTTGATCTGACATTTCAACGAAGATCAAACAACATACACTACAATTCTTCCTTTTTGATGAAATTGAATAATCAACCATCTGTTTAAGATCGATCAACTTTTGGATTCTAAATTTATAACTAGTCATTGAAAGTTTCCTTTCCATAATTAGAAATAAGACGCATGTTAGTTGCGCTACTGCGTCGACATATATTATCTGTTAGATGACGGAAGACTTAGTTCGTTCAATTGACGAAATACTCAGACCACAAAGCAAAGAAAACGTTAATTGGAAATTTAAGCAGTTCTTATTTGTTGCAAAGTACCGTCACCATTGTGAATTCGTCAATTCAACTGAAAACAGAATATAGACGTACAAACATCTGGACAACCAAGCAGCTCACTGAACTGCTTCATTTTCTCCGTTCGCGATTAGGCCTACCAAGACATACCTAGTTAGATTCTCACCTCACTCATATAATCATTTTGGACTCTATTGCTACAACTCACTTGAAACTACACCGACATCGACCACTTTTTTCAAAGAAGTAGTCGAGCAGTTGGATCGTTTAGTAAAGAATTTTTGTGTTATTTGCCCGTGGAAGTAAAAGTAGAAAACGAATTAGTGAGAGTTGGTTAATAACCTGAACACGAAGTCTAAATATAGTGACAATAAAACCGGCACCTTTAGGGAGCAGCCGGTTTCCTCACTCGGATCCTTGAAATTTTGGGTATCTTTGATTGCAAACTCTGACACAGCTGACTTGGAAACACAGTCAGTGAGTTGTCCACGTTGTAACAAGCTCCTTCTTTCAATGCTTGTACATTTTTTTGGTAGAACGCGTCAATAGGTAACCTGAATGAATGCAATCTCCCTGTTGACTACCATTTTGGTCAAAGGGATTAAATGACGTTTATAACTAGAAAGAACAACAGTTAGTTTTCAACTATACTCTTCTCTCAGGTACCATAATGTTGTTTGGATTTGAATAAAATACAGATCGTTCAAATAGCTGTTTGGCAGATTGAAGTTTTATGTTGAAATTGTGAAAAGTTCAGTAGCCTCGGTGGGATTGGAGCCCAACCACGGACGCCACCTACGCCCTTTGTACATCGCACACTTCACCAGTCGAGCTACGAGGTCACACCAGTAGCGCTGATCTTTTCACATTCGAATCACCCATCCAACTTACTTAGGTATATGGCATAAGGCAGTCAGATTACGTGCTATCTAGAGGATGCCATATACCTGTGTAATTCGGCTGGGTGATTTGAATGTGAAAACGCTAGTGCGATCGGTGTGGCCTCGTAGCTCAGCTGGTAGAGAGTGCGCTGTACAAAAGCATAGGCACAATACAGGTTGTCTTCAAAACGTGATACACTAGAGCAGAATTTTATTCATTTTTTTTGCATTTGAAGTTTTTTTTCCATGAAACAACTCCCCCGAACTCTGCTACTTAAACTCGGACCAATCTGTCTCACCGTGCTACAAGTGTTCTCGTCTCGTCACTGGAATGCTCAAAAATTGAACCATGCAACGAGTTGCACCTCTGTGAGAGCAATTCAAAATTCCTAACACATTCCTAAATTCCATAAAGTACAATCATACCTGAGGCTTGGAGACTTTTCCATCATTCACGTAATCGGAATATGTAGATCAGCCACTTTGTGTTGTCCCAATCTTAACATGCATACTTTACCAATATTATAGTGTCATACGGTGGTTGCTTTAGTCGATAAGCATGTCATCATTCACCAGTAACTATTTCATGCTGCACTCTGTTGCGTCCGACTCTTGAGTAGATATNTAGATATTACGCAATAAATAAGTGCATACTTTATGAATACCGCAAGAAATCTCTCCGGAAGTTCAACCGATACGCTTTCCCTTCCTCCATGCACTTGCTCATGAACGTTTATTGACGAACACGTTGAGTGCATTGTTGAGAATCATGCCCATTGGAAATATCAAGTATTACTTGACATCAAAAGTCAAACATCGTAAAATAAAGTAATTAAAATATATGAAGTATCTCAGTAGATCGTCAATTAACTTGGTGTTTTCCAAATCAAGAAAACGCGCTTTTGGAATTGAAAGAAGAAAGATGTGTTTGATTCGTAGGAAAATGTACTCCAACT